CACTGGTGAGGTCCCGATTCTCGTGCAAGTTGGCGAGGTACGTCTGAAGGGTGAGTCGTTCGTAGAAGATCACATCTCGTGCTGCTACTGTTTCTTTTGTGTGGACGTCGAAGATTCTCCACGCGTTGTAATTTTTCTCGATGCCGAGGTGTAGTCCCCACTGTGCCCGTTGTGAAAATCTTCCCGCTCGTGCTTCTGGGGGTCTGTACTGTACCATGCACCCGAAGACTCGTAACATTTTTGTGCTGCCCTGCTTCCTTGTCCACAGCAGATGCGGTGATGCGTTGTTCGGGAGTGACGACGACGACAACAAGTTGTGCAGCATGACAGCATGGTCCATTGCTGCTGGCCACTGGTGGTTGGGTAGCCGCATGCCACGTAACAGTTTGCGCATGCTGTTCTGCAGAGTCCTGTTCATTCTTTCTGCAACACCTTGCTGCTGATGTGCGTAGGGAAGGGAGAGGAGTTGCTTGATCCCCCTTTCCGCCAGGAACTGCTTGAAGCGCTGAGAGGTGTACTCGCCACCTCCGTCTGACTGGAAGCTTTTCAGTTGCGTTCCAGACTCTCTCTCTGCTATCGGTAGCCAGGCGGCGAATGCTGCGAGCGCCATGTCGCGGCTAGGTAGGTTACGATGCCAGACGTATCGAGTGGCGGCGTCGATGAAGGTGATGGTGTAGTTGTAGTTGACTTGTCCTGGTTCGCGATTGTAGAGGATATCGCTGTAGACTTTTTCGAGTGGTGCGTACGCTGGAGCGCTCGGGTTGTGATGTGGAGCGAACGGTCGATGAGGTAAGTCAGCTTCGGGGCATATAAGGCAGGTCCCTCGTGCCTTTTGGAGTTCTCTGCCGTCTGGTAGAAGTAGGGAGTCTTTGTCAAGAACTCCTGCTCTTATCGTGTTGTTTAAAACCGTGTTGCTTGGATGTCCTGTGCGTGCGTGCCAGATTTCTTCAGAGGCGCGGTGTCCGGATGAACGTTGGTATGCGTCGGAGTTGGAGTAAAAACTGGCGACGAAGTTGGCGCTTCGGTGGACTTCACGTTGAGTCGGATTCAGCTGTTGTGCGGGTGTTGGTGGTGCTTCGTCGACTGTGACTGGTGTCGTTGTTCCTGCTGCTGCTGATGTTGTCTCTGCTGCTGTCGATGTTGTCTCTACTGCTGTCGATGTTGTCTCTGCTGCCGATGTTATCTCTGCTGCTGCCGTTTGATGAATCGTTGCTAACGCTCGTGTTCGTTCCGTTTCAGGGATAGTGTGGGAGTACCAGAAACCTCCCGGGCTGAAGTCAGGATCGAGATCCGGAGGGTGTGTCCAGTCAGTGAAATTCACGATGGCGTCGCTGTCTGCAGTGCCCAGGTGAGGAACGAAGTCGAGGACGAAGACATTGTTCTTCAATACTGCTTTCCCGATGTAGAGGCCGCCTCTCCCGTGGTATAGCTTGAACTCTTGGGTGGTGCTGTCGGCTTCCAGGTGAATCCCCTTTGCCATCAACTGGCTAACACTCAGTAAGTTGTAACCGAGTCCTTCAGCGATGAGTACCTTTGACATGTGCAGTATGACATTTGTTTCTCTTGACTGAAGCTGTACCACTCCTTGTCGTCGTGTGCGCAGGTTTTGATTGTTGGCGACCGTGATGACAACTTCTCGTTGGAGTCGGTGTTCGCGTTGTACGAAGCGTCCGGACGAGCACATGTGTTGCCCGCAGCAACTATCCAAAAACCAAGTGTCTTGGCCGGACGGTTCACTTTGAGCGATGGCGGCGTAAGTCGGATTCGGGTGGAGTGATTCGCGGCGGGGCGTCCTGTTGTCGAGCTCCTCTTCTGGTGAGTAGTGAGGTGGTGACTCTGTTATGCAAGAATCGTTTATCTTGACCATGCAGTTGACTATGTTTCTTGCTCCTTGTGCAGGTTGTCCAGTTGAAGTCGTTGAAGCTTGAATCGTGGTTGTCGGACTTGCTTGTGTCGAAGCAACTTGGGAGCTTGAAGGCCGCAGTTGTCGCTGTGGTGTTGTCTGACGAGACGGGCAATGCGTGCGTGGGTGTTCTGATGTCTTGCAGATGTGACAAAACGGAGGTACTGGCTTCGGCTGCTGCTGTCGGTTGTTGTAGTTGTTGTGTCGTCGTTGAGTATGGAAAGCGAACTCCGGTGCTAATGCCCTTTTCTTGTGCCTTTCTTCTTGCAGGTCCATATCATGCTGCTCGGCGTGGATTTCGGCGCAGAGTGCCGCTTCGGAGATCCTCCCGTGTGCTCGAAGAATTGCTTTGGTGGCGCGCCACTGAGGACCGAGGCCACCGATGACGACTGTTACGAAGGCGTCTTCAGAGATTGATCCTCCGCATCGAAGAAGCTTGTCGCGCAATTCGCGACATCGGCTGATATACGCCAACCCCTTTTCTCCTAGTTTCATTTCAACTATTGTCAACTGCGCCATTAACCTGCTCTGGTTTACACTGTCTGTTGCCTGATACAGGTTCTTCAGATGGCCGTACGCGAGTTCCGCCGAGTTGCCGAAGTTCCGGTAAGAGCGAATGTTCTGCTGCTGAGTTGGTGTGATGTTTCTCAGTAGAATAGTATACGCCATCATCGATTGATACGTATACTGCTGCTTCTCATACTGTGTGCCGTTTGCTGGATACTGCAGGGATCCGTCGAAGAAGCCGAGTATCTGCGCGCCCTCCATCATCAGCTCGAATTCAAAGGACCAGGTGAAGAAGTCCTTTCCGTCGAAAGGTCTTGATGTTTGCAGTTTCAGGACATGCGCGAATTGCGACTGAACTTGTAAAGCGTCCATTGGTTTGTCTTGCGCAGGTGAAGGTTGAGGCAGGAAGCTGATCGACCCGCGCTCGTACGGGGCGAAGGTGGGTTGTTGCTGTTGATTCCCTCGCGCATATGACGACCCATCAAGGCTCATGGGTGTCGCTCCGTTGTTGCTGTTGTGTGTCTGTGCAGGTCCCGACTGCTGGTGTTGCTCGTAGAAGGACATGAAGGAGAAAAATTTCTCCATCATGCTCTGGTCGAAGTCAGAAGGATGGTTCGTGGGGGTCTCGGTTGACGTTCCCCTTGGTCTTGCTGCCGTGCCTTCCTCTGTCTGCAGGCCAGAGGCTGGCGGTGGAGTAGGAGTAGTGCCCGAGAAGCCATTAGGGGAGCTCCTTTCCTTGTTTGTTGCCATGTCTTGTAATGATAAAAAAGTTAGAGTTTTCCCCTGTCAGCTCTCATACCATGTTGGGCTGAGAAAGCCCTTAAGGATCTTTTGCAGAGGATAACTCTGGGTAGGAAATTTGTAATAGCGGAAGCGTTTAATGAAGTTTGTGAACCGACCTTGCACTAGTGTGTGAGAGCAAAGTGGATTAAATTAAACAAGCAAATACAAGGCTTTATATAAGAGTACAGGGAATATGAATGGATAGATAACTGTATTTGCTGTTGCGATTCGATACAGTGCGACTCGGGCAACTGCTCTGTAACGAGTCAGTTGTGTGTCCTTAACTGTCGCGCTGTAATTGTCGAGTCAAAGGTCGCTGACCTTTGACTTTCCCGTAACCTCCAGGCGGTTACCCTAACCTCCGAGGTTTGACTCGATGCTTCGATTCGGACTGCTTCGCTAGTGTCTTGGGTTTTGACACGACAGAAGCGCACTAAGACTTATTGTTTCCAACAGTGTGGAGGTAGCTGTCGTGTCGCCTGTAGCGCCTGTAGTCCGTCGCCCTTGCTTCGGTAGCCAGTGAGCCTGTTGCACCAGTCGCCAGTGGGTCCGTTGCTCCTGCCGCTCGTCTATAGTCGCAGAGCCAGTCACTCCAGTAGTCCGTCGCCCTTGCTTCGGTAGCCACTGAGTCAGCCGCTCCTGTGCCCGTGCCTCTGCAGCTTCAGTCGTTGCCTCCCATCTTCTCTCCGTCCACAGTACTCTCCTCCTCCTCACTTGCCCTCTGTGATAGCCTCTAGCTTTGCTTGCCATTGTGAACCTGCTCTATGACTGTGTGCTCTGCTGATTACACCCCACTTTGGCTATGGGGGTGTGTCAGAATGTTATTATCTGGCCTGTAGTGGGGTGCTCTATAGCGAGTACAACCCTGTTAGGGTTTGCTATATGTATCCCAACTTCTGCTAGTGAAACCCCTCTTTTCTTCATTTCTCTCTTGCCTAGCTAGCTAACCCTAGCTATGGCTCTTCACTATGCTTACTATCTTAACATTTCGCACGCCTACCAGGATTCTGGGCAGGGGCCGCGCGCGGGTTCTCAAGGTAGGAAACCGCCGCGCGCCCCGAGCGCATGGCGGTCCGAAAACCCGAAAAAAAATTCGCAGGAAGGAGTCGCACGCCACGGGGCGTGCAACAGACAGAGTAGTAGCGGAAGCAGTTAGGTGGGCCCACAGGCCAGGAGCGTAGATGCTCTGATAGCATGTTAAGATAGTAAGCATAGTGAAGAGCCATAGTTAGGGTTTAGCTAGCTAGGCAAGAGAGAAATGAACAAAGGAGGGGTTTCACTAGCAGCAGTTGGGATACATATAGCAAACCCTAACAGGGTTGTACTCGCTATAGAGCACCCCACTACAGGCTAGATAATAACATTCTGACACGAAATTACGGGGGAGAAATTGTTTAACCTGAGAAACGTGAATGCACCTGCACAATAACCTGACATGCAGTTGAATAGCGCTCCTAGGCTAAGTTGCATGCACCTGAAAATGGCCGGACTTCTTTGCTTTTGACCCATCCACGCGCCTTCCCTTGTTCTCTTTGAGTAGCGCACGACCCTCACGCAGGATGCTACGCGCTCTCCGCGTTGCACATTTCCTACAATCATGGCGTCATTTAGTCGGTTGAAACCAGAATAAAGATATAATTAGGGGTGGCGAGCAACGTAGAGCAGGGCCCGTTTGCAGGGCCCGTTTACAGGGCCCGTTTACAGGGCCCGTTTATTCCTAGAGCAGTTAGTTGCTCCTCTGGCCGCGTTTACAGGGCCCGCAAGGGGTATATCATCCTGTGGGAACGCCGCGCTTGTTAAGTTTACAATGGCTGATCGCCAATCTCTTTTGGCGAAATTCGCCAGCAGCGCCGTCGCCGTGCTTCTTGCTTTCGCCGTGCTGAGTTCGCGAAGAGCAGAGGCGCAGGGCGAGCCAGACTGGCGAGCGAAAACGGCGTCTGTTCTTCAGCAGGTGTCGCAGCAAGAGTTTCTATCCTCGTTCGCCGCCATTTTCAGCGAGTTCTGTAAGCACGTGCACACGTGCCTCTGTTCGTTCTGCCCTTTCCGCACACAGCATCGTCGTGCATCCCCCTCCCCTTCTCTCCTGTCGCCTCTGTTCCACCGAGCTTGTACATGTTTCTTCCCACCTGCGCATCCCAATTCCATGTCTTGCTTTTCCTTCCGCCTGCGCATTTCAGTTATATGTCTGCATTTATTTCAACCTGCACCTTCCCTTCTAACTTGATATAATCCCTCCCGCAACCCTACCTTCCTACCCCCTCCCATGCCTCCCAACATCCCCCCCTTTCTCCCCTCCCCCCATCCAATCTCCTCTCATGCAGTGCAAGGCGGGCAGCAGCCCATCACAGCCCCCGCCACGCTGCTCGTCCCCACCAACGTGGGTCACTGGCGCTACCTCTCCCACTGGACCGCCCTCTCCCCCACGCACCAGCGCCGGTTACTGCATTACCACATCCTCCCCGGCCGTTACACCGCCCAGCAGCTCCTGGACGCCCCGCCGCTCACCCTCTTCCCCACCTTCAACCACCACCTGCCGCTAAACAAAACGCTTAAGCCAGAAGAAGTGTTCTTCCAGTCGGTTCCGCTGATGAAATCTGCATCACCGCTAAATATGCCGGATGCAGGGCTGACGGAGCACCTGGCTGCGCACGGTGTGACGTTTGTGCTAGAGCCACCCAACCTGGAGTGTACCACCGTGGCGTGCAACAGCAAGGCTGAGAGCATGGCGCACATGGGATAGGTACAGAGCAGTTGCATTGCAACCCTAAAACAGCTTTTTTAGTTGACTCAAAAAGCAACATCAATGCTGAGACCATATCCACCAAGTGTTACCTCCCTTCCCTACAGAAGCAATAGCGACGACGACGATGAGGGGGAGAAGGAGCAGCCGATGATGCCAGAGGCGAAGGAGCGCGCGGGGCATAGTAAGCCCGCAGCAGCCGATGATGGCAGAGGGAAGGGCGCTCGTCGTCCTGCTCCTCCGTCGTCGCCCCGTGCGGCGGTGCGCTACACCAAGTCGGTGCTGTCCAGCACGCTGCAGCTCATGGGGTGCAAGTCAAGGCACGCCGTCAAGGTGAGAAACACGCCGTCAAGGCGAGACCGGCCTGTGTTGCACTGCACCGTCAGATCATATCATACCTATTGGAACCTGCGCGTCTGTACCCTCGTTGCTCCCAAGACGTTCTCGCTTTTCCTGTTGCCGTGTTCACGTTTGCTGCCCTTTGGAGTTCGCATTCCTCCCTTTGCTGCTCTCTCTCTCTTACTTGCGCTCCTCTCCCTCACCACACCACGCGCAGATCAGCGAGCGGGTCTTCCAGATTCTGCTGCAGCAACTCACCAGCCGGCGAGTTTCTGGCCATCGGACGGACGTGGCGCACCGATCACGCATGGCAAACGGATCCGACGGCATCCAGCGATTTGCCAGGCCAAACCAAGAAGACCGCGGCGCCGTTCTGGCCACCGGCGCCAGCCATGATAATCACAGCTGCTGTGACAGTAATGGCCGTGACAATAACGAGCAGGACGAAAGCAGGGCGGCAGCAGGGGCCGGGTCGAGTGCGGGCGGCGACACAGTGAGGGGCATGAGCGTGTCTTTGAAGCGCAGCACGTTTCTGGACGTGGTGTGCCGGGCGCTGGCGGAGTATCGCTACCTCAGCGCCGACCAGCGCAGCGACCTCGCCCTCGCCTGCAAGTGAGTGCACCGCACTAAACCGCACCGCACTGCACTGCTACTGTTTCTGGTGTCTCAGGCGCTGGCGGAGTACCGCTACCTCAGCGCCGACCAGCGCAGCGGCCTCGCCCTCGCCTGCAAGTGAGCCCCTGCATACCGCTTCGCACCGCACTGCACTGCCGCAGTGCACCGCTGCCCACACTGTAAAGACTACTAAATTCTTTTGATCTGTCACGGCTGTTGTGGTGGAATTGCGTGCTGTTATTGGTGTGCTTCTGAGTCCCTTTTGTGTGCTGCTGCTGTGTGCTGTGTGCTGCTGCCATGCACGGTGCGTGAGAGGAAGATGTCAGTGACGGTGTTCCTGTGTGGCGCCAGCTGCTGTGGCAAGTCCACTCTCGCCTCCATCCTGGTACGCTATGCTGCACACCCGCCTTCCCTGCCCTGCCTTCTCCCGTCCTTCCTCTTCCATCTTTCCCTCCTCTTTCCCTCCGTCTATGCCTCCTTTGTTACCCTTTTCTCCTCCCTCCTGCGTGCCGCCATCCATCCCTCTTCGCCAATGCCTCTCGGGTCCACCAGTGCCCTCATAGCACCATGGGTGGCTGCAGAAGCGGGGAAAAGCCCCCCTCTGATGCTCCCTTCCCTCCCGTCCCTCCTCCCACCTCTGGCGCAGGCGTCACGGCTGGGCATCACTCCACGGACTCGCAGCGCCACAGGATGAGCAGCTTCAGCAGCAGGGAGCAGGCCACTCTCTGCCACATCTCCTCCTTGCAAACCGTCTTCCTCTCTTGCGTCCTCTCCCTCCCCCCACTGCCCCCCTCCCGCTTTCCTCCCCTCTCCCCTGCAGGCGTCTCGGCTGGGCATCACAACAATGGTGTCCACTGACTCGCTGCAAAGTGCACAAGGACCTTTCTCTCTCTATCCCCTCACTCCCCTTGTCTCCCCTTGTCTCCTCCTTGCATACCGTCTTGCTTTCACCCCCTCCCCTCACTGCCCCCTCCTGTACCCCTTCCCCCTCTCCCCTGCAGGCGTCTCGGCTGGGCATCACAACAGTGGTCTCCACGGACTCGCTGCGCCACATGATGCGCGGCTTCAGCAGCAGAGAGGAGACCAAGAAACGCTCTGCCATTCTACCTCCTTGCATACCATCTTGCTTTCGCCCCCTCCCCTCACTGCTGTACGCGTCCACGTACCCGCTGCTGTATGCCTCCACGTACCAGGCAGGCGAACACCTCGACCCCGCCGCTGTTGCCGACACCAAGGCCAGGAAGAAGGCGGGCAAGCTGGCAGGGAAGCACGGCGGCGCACAGGCCGGTGGACAGGGGGACGCGGGCGCACAAGGTGCAGCAGCTCAGAGAGATTGGCACGGAGGCCGGCAGATGGGGCAGCTGGCAGGGGAGGTTGTGGGGCAGGTGGGGCGGAGAGAGATGCAGGGCGGTGTGTGTGTGGGCTCTGGTGAGCGGGGAGGAGAGGAAGGATTGGGTTCACACGAGGGTGTTTGGCTGGGGGAAGGGCGGGTAGGCGGGGAAGGGAACTGTGGGGGAGGAGCTGTGATGACAGGGGGAGGTGGGGGTGGGAGGGAGGAGAGGGAGATGAGAGAGGCGGTTTGGGATGGTCGGACGAGCGTGACAGGTTTGGACAGGGAGAGGAGTGGGGAAGGAGGTGACGAGGGTAGAAGGAGAGATGTGGGGAGTGGGAGGGATGCTGTGAATGGGAAGGAGCCAATGAGTGAGATGAGAAGGAAGTAGTGAGTGAGAGAGGGGGGGTGAGTGAGAGGGAGATGGTGATTCAGGGGTACAAGGCGCAGAGTGAGATGGTGATAGGCAGTGTGGAGCAGCTGCTGTGCAAGTGGGAGCGCTGCCACGAGTCCGCCATCGTGGAGGGCGTTCACCTCAGCCTCAACTTCGTGGTGCGCTTTACTGCCTGCACCCTCTCACAGCTGCATACTCTTGCCGCCACTCCCCCACCGCACTCATGCACTCTCCCACCGCACTCATGCACTCTCCCACTGCACTCATGCACTCCCTCACCGTTCCTTTGCGCCGGCTGGCATGCCGTTTTTGGAATATCCTGTGATGTTCCATCGCATCGTGCCGCCATGTGGCAGGTGTCGCATTCGGCATTTGTGTTCTGTGTTGCACCTGCATCCCACGTGGTGCGTGTTCCGCACGTGCATTTACATCCCACATGCCGCCCGTGTCCCTCACGTCATGGCAGATGGAGCTGCTGAAGCGGCATCCCACGATCATCCCCTTCGTGATCTACATCGGCAACGAGGCGAAGCACATGGAGCGGTTTGCGGTGCGCGCCAAGTACATGACGCTGGACCCGTGGCGCAACAAGTATGTGCGCTAAATGCGCAACATCCGCGCCATCCAGGACTACCTCGTGCGCCGCGCCGACAAGCATCTGATCCCTAAGGTGTGTGCGTCGTACATGGGGTACAGTACGGTGGACCCTTTTCTGCAACAAGCACGTGCGCAACATGCGCCCTCTGTGCCGGCTGCGTCTCTCGCCTCCTCTCACCTGCCTCTACTTCCTTGCACCTCCCCCGCTTCACTTGGCCCGCACGCCACCTGCGCTTCCACCTCGCCCTGCCCGCCTGTTCCCGCATCACTCTCCCAACCACTTCGCCTTACCCCATCCCATCCCATTCTCTACCATCCCCTCCCATCCCCTCCCATCCCCTCCCATTCCCTCCCATCCCCTCCCATCCCCTCCCATTCCCTCCCATCCCCTCCCATCCCCTCCCATCCCCTCCCATCCCCTCCCATTCCCTCCCATCCCCTCCCATCCCCTCCCATTCCCTCCCACCCATCCCCTCCCATCCCCTCCCATTCCCTCCCATCCCCTCCCATCCCCTCCCATCCCCTCCCATCCCCTCCCATCCCCTCCCATCCCCTCCCATCCCCTCCCATCCCCTCCCATTCCCTCCCATCCCCTCCCATCCCCTCCCATTCCCTCCCACCCATCCCCTCCCATCTCCTCCCATTCCCTCCCATCCCTCCCATCCCCTCCCATCCCCTCCCATCCCCTCCCATCCCCTCCCATCCCCTCCCATCCCCTCCCATTCCCTCCCATCCCCTCCCATCCCCTCCCATTCCCTCCCACCCATCCCCTCCCATCCCCTCCCATTCCCTCCCATCCCCTCCCATCCCCTCCCATCCCCTCTCCCCATCCCCTCCCATCCCCTCCCATCCCCTCTCCCCATCCCCTCCCATCCCCTCCCATCCCCTCTCCCCATCCCCTCCCATTCCCTCCCATCCCCTCCCATCCCCTCCCATCCCCTCCCATCCCCTCCCATCCCCTCCCATCCCCTCCCATCCCCTCCCATCCCCTCCCATTCCCTCCCATCCCCTCCCATCCCCTCCCATTCCCTCCCACCCATCCCCTCCCATCCCCTCCCATTCCCTCCCATCCCCTCCCATCCCCTCCCATCCCCTCCCATCCCCTCCCATCCCCTCCCATCCCCTCCCATCCCCTCCCATTCCCTCCCATCCCCTCCCATTCCCTCCCACCCATCCCCTCCCATCCCCTCCCATTCCCTCCCATCCCCTCCCATCCCCTCCCATCCCCTCTCCCCATCCCCTCCCATCCCCTCCCATCCCCTCTCCCCATCCCTCCCATCCCCTCCCATCCCCTCTCCCCATCCCCTCCCATCCCCTCCCATCCCCTCTCCCCATCCCCTCCCATCCCCTCCCATCCCCTCTCCCCATCCCCTCCCATCCCCTCTCCCCATCCCCTCCCATCCCTCCCATCCCCTCTCCCCCCCTCCCAGATGTGCTACCAGCTGCCGCTGCCAGGCCGCTACGTCCTCTCGCTGCACCTCCTCTTCTCCGCCACCTTCCCCCTCCTGCGCTCCAATGCGCGCACCTCCTTCCTTGGGGGGTTCTCCAAGTGAGGCGCGGGGGGGGGGGGGGGGTGGGGAAGGGAGCTGGGAGGGGGGGATGAGGGGGGTTGCGGGGTGTGGGGGGGAGGATGGAAGGGGCACGCCCAAACGGAGGCTAAAAAGGTGAGGCGGAGGGGTGAAGAGGGCCCGGGGGGGGTGAGAGAGTGAAGGGATGTGCAGGTTCCTTGGAGGTTCACACAGCTGCCTTGGAGGGTTGTGAAACAACTGAACTGATTCTGAGAGGCCACACTCGTGGCTCATGCGTGGCTCATGCGTGGCTCATGCGTGGGTGCATGCGTGGATGCATGCGTGGGTGCATGCGTGGATGCATGCGTGGGTGCATGCGTGGCATCCCCAAGTCAACATGCACTCGGTGCCGCTGTATCGCCATCAACTTCCCTTCATTGCTTCCCATTTATCCGATTCCTCCCCCTTTCCTCCCCCATTGCCCCCACTGCAGCTACACGGTGGTGCAGTCGCAGGCCATTCAAGCATCAGCACCGCCCACCTTCTCCCTTTACGCACACAGGTGCCTTCTTGTCACATGCCATGCCATGCCATGCCATGCCATGCCATGGGGCGTGCAGGGGACTGCTGCAGTGTGTCGCATGTGTCCTCACCGCACTTCAACGCCCAGGGTTACCTCACTCCTATCTCTTTGCTCTTACACCACGTCCCTCCTCTCTCCCCTCACCCATCCCACCGCCCTCACTCCTCTCCTCTCTCTTCTCACAACATATGATTCCTCTCCTCTATCTCTTGTCTCTCAACACTCTCCTCTATCTCTTGTCTCTCAACGCTCTCCTCTCAGCCTACCACCTCTCTTCACTGCTGTCCACCGCACACACTTCTCATCGTACCGTTCGGCCGGCCCAAAACCATTTCTCGAAGAGCCTCCTCCAATGCATATCCCCCACCTCATTCCTTCTTCGCGTCCATCAACACCTGATGCCTTCTTTGCGACGAACAATGTTGCGGCTGTTCACGCGTCTGGTATGAACAGCTTCTCACAGCAGATGCAACAGTCTGGTATGAACAGCTTCTCACAGCAGATGCAACAGTCTGGTATGAACAGCTTCTCACAGCAACATGCTGCCTTCTCCCCCTCTCCTTCCCCGTCATCTCCATCCGATGCCACCTCCCCTTCATTGGTTGCGACCTACACATCTCCACCTTCCCCCCCACAAACACTCCCATCTCACAGGTGTTCTGGCCCAACATGCTGGCCTGTGGCAGCGTGCCACGTGGCAACGGGTCCATCTACCCACCAATCAACAGCAGCACGGGCGAGCTCATCTCAACAGGCGTGTGCCAGCAGCCCGACTCCGCCTTCTTCTTCCACGGGGAGAACTTCAACGGCTATCGCCGTGCTGTGTACGTGCCCCATACCATCCCGCTTATCCCGTTTCATTCCATCCCATCCCATCCCATCCCATCCCATCCCATCCCATCCCATCCCATCCCATCCCATCCCATCCCATCCCATCCCATCCCATCCCATCCCATCCCATCCCATCCCATCCCATCCCATCCCATCCCATCCCATCCCATCCCATCCCAACCCATCCCATCCCATCCCATCCCATCCCATCCCATCCCATCCCATCCCATCCCATCCCATCCCATCCCATCCCATCCCATCCCATCCCATCCCATCCCAACCCATCCCAACCCATCCCATCCCAACCCATCCCAACCCATCCCATCCCATCCCATCCCATCCCATCCCATCCCATCCCATCCCATCCCATCCCATCCCATCCCATCCCATCCCATCCCATCCCATCCCATCCCATCCCAACCCATCCCATCCCATCCCATCCCATCCCCCCTCCCCCCTCCCCTCCCCTCCCCTCCCGTTCTGTGCCATCCCATCCCATCCTGCGCGTGCATCCATGCGCGCCCCACTCCCACCAGGTACAAGGTGAGGGCAGCGGAGGGCAGGCCAGCAGCGGCCTTCAACCTCACGTACGTGTGGCAGTGCGGCGCCATGAAGCCCGTGTTGCCCGCGTGGATGAGCGACCCCGCCCTCGTGGGGCCCGCGCTCACCCTCTTTGACTCGCGCCATGATGCACGGGGCGCTGCTGGGAGCAGCGATGCTCGCAGTAACAGCAGTGATGACAGCAGCAGCACCAGCAGTGGGGAGAGCAATGAGAGCAGCAGCGGCAGGGAGGGGCCTGGGGGGGAGTATGACATGGCGCTGGTGGGCACCACTCTGCACGACCTCATTCAGCACCCCACCGCCCGCGCCTTTGGTGCTCTGCTGGGTAGGTGCCCTGCTGGGTAGGTGCCCTCCTCCTGGGTAGGTGCCCTCCTCCTGGGTAGGTGCCCTCCTCCTGGGTAGGTGCCCTCTTCCTGGGTAGGTGCCCTCCTGAGTAGGTGTGCAATGATGCTCATGACTTTGCAACGCGCCTCACCTGAACCCCTCCTCCATCTCCCCTTGGCCCCCCCCCACATCCAGAATCCAATCTGCTGCCACCACTGCGAGCAGCCATGAGGGATCCCTCAGCCGTGGCGGTGCTGGGCCCGTGGGCGGCGAGGGAGGACAGCAAGCCGCCCGAGTTCATCCCTGTCAGCAACAACGCGCGTTCCATGGCGTTTGAAAACGAGCTAATCAGGTGGGTTGGGCTGCTGGAAGCGTCACACCGCGCCGCCGGGTTCCTTCACGTGTCTTCAGGTGCTCCGGTCCCACCAGGGTCATTCGATCTGCCTGTGCTGACTCTCGTTCTTCATTTTCCCAACACGCTGCTTGCGTGAAATAACTGTTTCTTCCCTGCATGCCGCTCATGCCGTGTGGGCATGCCGCTCGTGCCGTGTGGGCATGCCGCTCATGCCGTGTGGGCATGCCGCTCATGCCGTGTGGGCATGCCGCTCATGCCGTGTGGGCATGCCGCTCATGCCGTGTGGGCATGCCGCTCATGCCGTGTGGGCATGCTGCCACTGACTGACAGGGCCATGCCATATCCACTTGAACACACGCTCCACCCTTGAAGCGCCACGGCTTTTTTTTTTGTTAAGCATCATCCACGTTGTCAACACACTTGTTCATCCACCCGGAGCACCAACGCAACGCACTCCGGGCAGACCTAACTCGTTCGAGAAGTAGGTTCGACCCAGCTTCAGCAGACCTAACTCATTCTAGTCTTCGCTATTCCAAAACTGAGCGTACGCGAGTTTCGGCACGATGGCCTTCATCAACGCTCCTTCTGCCTCTTCCCCTCCCCATTCCCACCCCCACCTCCTCCCTCTCCCTTCCACCCGTCTTCCCCAACCCCCTCTTCCTCCTCCAATCCCCCCCCAGGCGGGTGCCCTCCACACAACCCGGTGCGCTCAGTGCACTGGGCATGATGGGGCTGACTCTCCCGCGCCCAGACCTGTGTCCCGACAGCACACACTACGCCTGGCCCGTCACCCTCGCCATCCTTGACCTCTGGCTCACACCGCTCTGCACCGCACACGCCTCACACGGTCCTCAACACTAGCGAGTATACCAAGGCATGGAACTGTTGGTCACGACTCACGACTCACGCCCGAAGATGGAGTCACTCGTGGGATGCCTATAGTCGTGACTCGGGCTACTCCCCCACCTCACTTATTTGACACCAAATCCAAAGATGCATGCACCTCGGGTTCGAAACACAGCAATCAGGCTTGAGAAGAATGGTCAATTGCGGCTGGCCTTTTTCTGAAGCTCGCTGGTCTTAGTTTCAACCATTCTGTGCTTTCTTTCTGTCATATGTATTAATAAAATACTGTGCGCTCCTACCTACCGGTAGATGAATGTAACAGCCTGTACCGAACCTCCAGCTCCGTGCTCTCAGACTGCCATCCCAGTCTCAAGGTCCAAATTTCATACCGTATCGATCAAGCCTCCTACCTGAGATATGCTCAAGGTGTTGCCTGTTTTTTTATTGTGTTTCTTTGGCTACCATGCTGGAACACATTTACTACAAAACAATGACAGCAGTGGGTGACTATACATACCGTAATACCCCGGATAGAAGCGCATCTGCGCTTATAATAAAACAGTGTTTTTTAGGGGGGTGCGCTTATAAATGAGTCAAAATTATAAGCGCATGCGCTTATATAATAACAAACACAGAAATATGTTATAAACGCACCAAACTGTGCATTAGAGTCTTGCAATTTCATTCAAATCGAAATGTGTGGAGCGTTCTCTCAGAATCCCAACCACTAGACCATTGGGATAAAAGGGCTTGTTTCAGTAGCGGGTCAGTGCGCCCATAACCCCCCAGGCAAACGTGCCTGTAACCCTTCCCTAGGATCGATCGGGGATCACCAGTGGACCTCTGACACCCCCCCGCACTGGGATGCCCGAAGTGCATACACCGGGATTCGAACCCGAGACCTTCGCTCTGATACCATCTCAGAATCCCAACCACTAGACCATTGGGATAAAAGGGCTTGTTTCAGTAGCGGGTCAGTGCGCCCATAACCCCCCAGGCAAACGTGCCTGTAACCCTTCCCTAGGATCGATCGGGGATCACCAGTGGACCTCTGACACGTTCTGAATCAGAATCTCGCGAGGGCGATTCTCTGCTGGCGCACAAGGGCAAGGACACGTCACTTTCGCATAGGAATGTGTCATGCTCGCACCATGAGAGTGTACGAACCAATAGCTTGCAGTCGCTCGTTCGCATCGCACAGGCTTGCCCCAGTGTACGACCAATAGCCTGCAGTCGCTCGCTCGCAGCGCACAGACAACAGGTGTTCCCGAGCCCTCCTGTCAGGTCAACTTCGCGCTGTTGCGCTTTTACTGAGCGAGCCTGCCCTCGAGGGAGTCAAACAGAGTAGAAGTGGATGTGGACTCGCTTTAAAACGGGAAGTCGTTACTGTTTTAATCCGTTTTTTTGAAATATGTTTATACATGCGCTTATAATAAATCAGGGTTTTATAAGGGGTGTGCTTATAATTGAGGATCGGCCATAAGCGCATTGCTCCAGATACAAGCGCATGCGCTTAACATAGGCCTGCGCTTCTATCCGGGGCCATACGGTACAAGGACTGACTCTCTATCGTTTTAAAGGGCCACAAACACAGCATCAACCTCAACAGATTATGAACAAGTATGGCAGATACATTACACTAGAATGCAAGTTTGTGGAGGCCCAGTTGTACTCTGGTTCCAGCCACAACCGCTGACAGTATCTAGAACTTACTAGGTCATTGCCGAGACACAGCCGCTAGCAGGAAACACACGAGGCAGCATCTCATTAGTAAGCACCAGATAACATCAGTTACAGATATTATTGCTGTAACGAGTTGAAAGCAGGCGTGCAAGCCAACTCCGCAATCCAATTCTGCTCACACTGACCAATCTCAATGGTAGATTCGCCCCTCAATTGCTTTGCGACCCACCCCCCCTTCTCCTCCCCTCCTCCCCAACTCCCCATACAATACACACCCCCCCCCCTCCCCCCTTATCTCCAAGCCAGGTAAGTAACCCAAATTTGGGTAACATTTTATCGTTCTATGTATCGAAACTACTGAAACACTGTATCGGGTCATAACCAGGGCTCTCTTTATCAGACCAATTTGGTCTGACGGTCTGAGTTTCAGACGTGATTTTTTGTATTCATCTAGTTCCTAAGATTCTGTGTTTTTACTCATGTGATCAGTAAGACAAGCGTTTTAGGTTCATATGATTTTCCAGACCATGTAGAACACTTAATCTGAATTTACAGATATCGTGTTCGCTTTCGTCTGAAACCGACAATTTGACCCACTAGGCCATGTGCCCAGTAGACCACAGGATAGGACCACAGGTACAGCCATTTGCTGCCCTGTAACTGCACGCGCATTCAATACGCGTGTATTATAGCAGCCTCGCTTGCTGTCATGTAACTGCGGCATATGCTGCCAGGAGTTTGTCGTGTGGCTAGCTGTCGGCGCCGATGCCAGCCACAGCCACGGCAACGCGTTGTCTCGTTGTGCCAGCGCATTTGCATTTCCTAGACGTCACGCAACATTGCACCGTGGTCGTAGTGCCCCCCGCTCCCAACACGCAGCGCCTTTTGGTTCTCAATGCACTGCACGGTGATGGGGTTTCATGTAACCAATTCGTAACTGAGAAACAAAACAGTTGGCATGACTTTCGAGCTATCTCACTTTCGTTTTCGTTTTAGTTTGTTGGACAAAGTCCGATTGGCTTGCGATATTTGTACGATCAGAAAGCTGGGAATACAGGTGCAAGACACCTGTCAAGGATGGTTTTCCTCATGTTCATAGCTACACAAGAGAAGCTTCGAGAATCTGGCCATCTGCGGTCCAGATTCAAATTCTATGTTCTGTACAAGCGAAACTACAATGAGAGTTACGCTAAAGCAGCTTAAAACATTCAATATGAGCGGCTCAGATTCCCCCCATGCCGTGCCATGCCAGGGCATTTCCCGCGCCATGCCAGGGCATTTCCCATGCCATGCCAGGGCATTTCCCGTGCCATGCCAGGGCATTTCCCGTGCCATGCCAGGGCATTTCCCGTGCCATGCCAGGGCATTTCCCGTGCCATGCCAGGGCATTTCCCGTGCCATGCCAGGGCATTTCCCGTGCCATGCCAGGGCATTTCCCGTGCCATGCCAGGGCATTTCCCGTGCCATGCCAGGGCATTTCCCGTGCCATGCCAGGGCATTTCCCGTGCCATGCCAGGGCATTTCCCGTGCCATACCAGGGCATTTCCCGTGCCATGCCAGGGCATTTCCCGTGCCATGCCAGGGCATTTCCCGTGCCATGCCAGGGCATTTCCCGTGCCATGCCAGGGCATTTCCCGTGCCATGCCAGGGCATTTCCCGTGCCATGCCAGGGCATTTCCCGTGCCATGCCAGGGCATTTCCCGTGCCATGCCAGGGCATTTCCCGTGCCATGCCAGGGCATTTCCCGTGCCATGCCAGGGCATTTCCCGTGCCATGCCAGGGCATTTCCCGTGCCATGCCAGGGCATTTCCCGTGCCATGCCAGGGCATTTCCCGTGCCATGCCAGGGCATTTCCTGTGCCATGCCAGGGCATTTCCCGTGCCATGCCAGGGCATTTCCCGTGCCATGAAATGCCATTTCCCGTGCCATGGAATGCCATTCCCTCGTGCCATGTCATTCCATGTGTGCACCTACTTGTTCGAATCTTGCATGCAATATTACCACAAATTGCCAAAACAAGAGCACAGACATCATTATTGAGACCTGGTACCCACATATCCATCGCCGCCCGTGGGGCTCGAACCCACGACCACAAGGTTAAGAGCCTTGCACTCTACCAGCTGAGCTAGGGCGGCTTTGAATTAGGAATGTTCGGCACATAACTGGCACGGGACATCGCCTCCACCATACACATCCCCTCACTTGTCAGGGCTAGTGAATGGCAAAACACTGATGACAAGGCTGGGGAGAATCACTGCTGGTGGCACAGATGGAGAAGTGGATACACAAGAAACACACACTGCGGCTCAGACATAAGGGGGTAGGGGCTGCTGCTGACAGCACTCCAGAGACAGCAGAGTAAGCGCAGACAAAAAACATGGGAGCGCATGTGAGAGGAGATGCAAGATCGGTTGTGAGAGCGGAAGCTTTTCGTGGTAAAGCATCGATGGAATATGATCAGGCTGGGAGCACACACGAAAGGGAGAGAATTTTTGTGAGGCAGGGGAAGAATCACTGCTGGTAGCACAAACGGATAAGATAAATGCAGCATACACTGTGGTTCAGTCCTAAGGGGTTAGGAGCTTCTGCTGACAACACTCCAGAAACGGTAGAGCAAGCGCAGGTAAAACAATGTGAGCGGATGTGAGGGCAGATGCACGATTGGTTGTGAGGGCAGAAGCCTTGTCGTGGTAACACAAAGGAGGAAAATAAGCAGGCTGGGAGCATACATGAGAGAATTCCCGTAAGGTAGAGAAAGAAAGGTAAATAACTGATTAACGGTATCGCACAGAAAGGCTTAGGCACAGAGGATTACAACGTTTCTGATAGCCCAAGTCCGTAAAGTGATAGAAAATTTACGTGACCTCGGAATTTTTTTCATTTATGTGTTAAAGCTGGGTACTTACAAACGGGCTGACAGTGGCCAGGCTTAGTTGGTAATTGCGGCAAGAGTTATACTACGAATCCGTCAAGATCACTGCTAGAGTCCCATATCACCATGTCACTCTGCAGTAGCAGTTGGGGAAAGGAGGGGGGAGATTGTTGCACTTGGATGGCAGCACTGACAAAGTGCACATGACGAGCAGTTATTTCAGGTAATTAGAGGGAAGAGGAAGATAGGTACATGTGGGTAGCACATGATTGCCCGTGCACTGATAGCGGTGGCCCTGTGTATCGCTGTCACAAGGGGCACAGAGGCAGACACATACAAAGGGGGGTGATGAAGGATGCTCCTATCGTTCTGTAATGTCATGCCAGAATCCTCCATAACCGTGCCATGGCATCATCCTACCATAGCACCATCCTGCCATGTCATCATCCTGCCATGTGAT